GATGAAATGGGAGTAGCACATTAGTTAACTATTTTAGCGACACCACAACCAGAATAATATGCAGAAAGAAGAAATAGAACATTGCTTGAAATGGTTAGATCTATGATGGCATAAGTTAATTTGCCAATTACCTTTTGGGGTGATGCATTATTATCTACCACATATATCTTAACCGTGTATCCTCAAAATCAGTTACCACCACACTATAAGAATTATGGACTAACAGAAAACCAAACTTAAGTTTTTTAAGACCTTAGAGTTGTGTCGTATAGGTTCATGAATGTTTCCACAAGTGTGAAAAATTAGCTCTAAGATAGAATAAGAGTATCTTTATAAGATATTTCGAACAATCAAAAGGATATGTGTTCATAGACACATAAGAAAATTGTCATGTAACTAAATTTGAATTACGAGATGTTATATTCTTAGAGAATGATTTTTCTAAAAATTGTGAGATAAGTCAATACTTATCTCTATATGAAACTCAAGACTAAATTGTTTCCACCCTATAAGTACAAATGGACCCACTATATTTGAGTGGGAGTGATATGAGATTCAATGAACTTGTTTCAATTGAAACCGAATCACAACTAATGGTGGGCCTAAGTATGAAAGTTGGTCCCAGTGGGAGTAACTTAGAAGAATCCAAATACATCAAACAAATAGGAAAAGTATTCCTCGTTGCCATTTTGAGATTGATAGGGGAATATTCTTAGTTACTCTATAAGATGAAGAAGAGCAAAAAAAAAAATATATAAGGCTCTTAAATGCCCTACAAAGGAAAAATTGATGAAAGCAATGAAAAAATAAATGGAGTATATGAAATATAACTAAGTCAGGGAGTTGGTCGATTTACCTAAAAACACAAAGCCATTGGGAACAAATGAGTTCTCAAAATCAAGCAAAAAGTTGATGGCAGTATTAGAAAATACAAAGCTCGCCTAATCGCAAAGGGGTATACACAAAACGAAGGAATATATTATGAAGAAACATTTTCACCTATTGTTAGATTTACCTCAATACGACTAATTCTAGCTATAGTAGCATGCATGGATCTTGAATTACATCAAATGGATGTAAAGATTACTTTTCTCAATGAAGAATTAGAAGAAGAAATCTACGTGAAACAACTAGTAGGTTTCATTGAAAATGGCCAAGAACACAAAGTTTGTCGACTTTTAAAGTCAATATATAATCTTAAGCAGCCTTCAAGACAATGGTTTATTCGATTTTATAATGTGATATTGTCGCATAACTTTAATATGATTGAAGAAGACCATTGCGTATATATTAAAAGATCTAAAGATAAATTTGTTATCTTATCATTGTATATGGATGACAGACTTATAACTAGAAATGATAAAGGGTATGTAAAAGAAATCAAAATTGGTTGTCATCTTATTTTGAGATGAAAGATATGAAAGAGACTACATAGATCATTGGAGTTAAGGTTTCAAGAGATTGTTCAAAGAATTTATTTTCTCTCTCTTTCTCAACAAAACATTATGTTTTTGTAAAGAAGAAGAAGAGATTTTTTGTTGTTTTTTATGTTAAAAGTTTGAATTTTTATAAGAGATATTTATACCATAAAAATTTACATATAATTCGCTATTCTTTAATGTGATTGTATGTGATGCTATGTAAAATAATATTAAAAAATTAGTTATAAAATTAATTTGTCGATTATATGTTAATTTCATGAGTTTTTAACAATATTGATATTCATATATTTGGTGTTGGTGAAAAAATGATATTTCACTAATATTTATGGATTTCATATGCAAAAAGATAGATAGTAAGAATTGATTAGATCTTTGTCATAACTACAAAGAACCATGGAAGATAGTGGAAGTGACTTTAACGAGATATTATTCATTTGTTGAGGAAAAAGAAGAGAACAGAAACATTCAAAATTACTGCTTGAATTTATAGAAGTTTTGAAGGAATTCGATTTACTAGATATTACTTTTACAAGGTATAAACACACATGGAATAATAAATGAAATGGTCAAGAGAACATCCTATAGATACTTGACATATTTGTGGCGACTCTAGGGTGGATAAATTCTTTTCATGAGTTCAATGTTCACCGTTTATTAAGACAGATAAAATAATGCTCCCATATGAGTAGTAGAAGAAGGAATAAGTTTAAAGTATTTTGATTCGAGGCTTTTTAATTGATGGAAGCTACATATAAATAGACTATTGTGAAGGTTTGAGGAGTCATAAATAGGTATGGATTTGGGCTTGGCTGAAAAACTTAAAGTTTGTTGAAAAACATTGTCTACATTAGAGTAATAGGTAGTTAGAAACATTAAAAATCATATTCATCAAACTAAGCAACAAATGGTTATCATATTGGAGATAATGGATAGAGAAAAAGAAAGACAAGTAATCTGAAAGGAAGATGAAAAACACGATGAGTAGATTAAAAAATGATAATAGTGATAGGGTTACTGACCCCTCCCGTATTGAAATGATTTTCACCACACATTTTTTTTCTTTGATTTGAGGCTTTTTTTTTTCTTAATCATGTTTTATGTTACTAGATTTTTTAGGAAAGGTTTTAATAAGACAATTTTCTATTTTGAAATGGATATTGAGAGAGACTTAATATCAAACTCTTCATTATTTATCATTTATGGATGTCGACAATACACATCTAATTTAATTTTTGAACTAATTCATGATATCTTATATCCTTATAAATAAGAGTCATAAGACATTTTATAAAAAATGTGAAAAAGAAATCTTATTTTAGCTTGTGATCATGTTTTGTTATTGCTATAATTTTATTATAATAATTTTTTACTTAAAAATTTTATTACAATTAATTTTAATACCATTTATAGTTATTAAAATTAGTATTAATTTTTAATTTTATTTTAGAATTTGATAGATGCATGAAATGTCTTTTTTTAAAATTTAATAAATTATGCTATGCAATATTTTTATTATATTATTATTCAAATTAAAGATTTTGAGTATTTATCTAAACTTTTATTTTTATATTTCAAATATTAAAGAGTAAACTTAAATTTATTAGAAAATAAACTATTATTAATTGTATAATTATAATTAATATATTTATATTAACTTTATTTTTTATATTTAAGAAATAATAACATCATATTTATCAATAAATAAATGTAATATTTTCATTTAATGTTAAGGAGTTTATCTAAGAAGAGCCATTGGGTGATCCATCATAGATTCATCATTCATCACAACCGTCCAATACTCCGAAATCGATTCAAAAGCCCAAATATATCACGTGAAATCAAGGGTATGCAGTGGCAGGCTACAAAAGTATATCGTAGAGCTATTTCAGAGGATTGTGATGCAACGCCGAGAGAGAGGTAATTGCCTCCTCTCCTTCGTATCGACAAAGCTTTTGTTCTGGTCAGACTTGTTCTTCGTTTCGTAGGTACAACATCTTCTTCTTCTTTTCCTCTTTTTCTGTAATACATTTAGTTTTTAGGTTAATGATCTCCTTTTCCCCGTTGAGAATTGATTTCCGTTTGCTCGTATAATAAACTTTGAAAGGGAAAAAAACGGTGTTCTTGTTTCCGTAGGTGTTGAAGGTACGTAATATGGTTTTCTTTTTCTTCGTCTCTCTAAATTCTTACTGATGTCAAGGCTTATTTACAAATTAGATTGATTGAGTCACTACAAATCTACGTGTTCTTTTGCTAGGGTTTTTATCACTAATTTTGCTTGGTCAGTCTTAGAATTAATATATTTTTACACCTTCGGAAATTAACAATAGGTATAGTTCAGGCCTCTTGGTAAGGCTTTTGGCGGTGTGTGCTTAATGTGACTTGTCTTGTTATTGTTCATCCTTTGCCAGATAAATTTTGCAGTTTAAGACGTGCAATTGTGCATTTCTTCTTGTGGTGGTATTCTTTGATACAAATTCCTTCTATTTACTTGTCAAATCAGTGGATGCAACGAGGTCTCACTCCTCTGCTTTATGAGTTTGTAATTATTTGACTCGGTTAGGGACCTTTGCAATCGACTGGCAAAGAATCTGAATCAAATTGATCACAAGTTCTGACTTTCCTTTGCAAATAAAATTAAGAGATCAAGAATCTTGTTAGTGATCATTATCTGATGAGGGGAAATGAAAATTGATTTTTTTTCCTTTTATTACTTTTCTTTGCAGTTAGGTATTGATTTTTCATTGATTGAAGGAGAAGATGTGGGCAGCTACTTGCCTTGCATCATGCTGCGCGTCGTGTGCATGTGATGCATGCCGTACAGTGGTATCTGGGATCAGCCGGCGGTCTGCAAGGATTGCTTACTGTGGGCTCTTCGCGCTCTCTCTGGTTGTTTCATGGATTCTTCGTGAGGTTGCTGCTCCTCTTATGGAAAAGCTCCCTTGTAAGATTTCTGGCTAAATCTACTCTTTCCACGTGGCAACATATTGGGTTCTCCTAAACGAGTGTAAATTTTATGATGGATAACTATTGTATGAGTTGAATTTGACATTCTTAATACCTGCCTAGTTGAATGAGAGAACCCCTTGTTCTTCCATGATAGCCATTTGCTGAGTGTTTAAAGTCCACAAATAGAGATATCTTTTGCATCTCAAAGTAGAAGATAGTGCAGAATTCTGTTCTTTTATTTTATGTCATATTTCTTTAATGGCTTGGCATAGTCTAAAAGTTCTTTAAGTAAATTAAACTGAACTAATTCCGTTGCTTATCTTGTTGTGGGTATTTGTTAGTTGTCTATAGGATGTGTCAAGAATGGTTGATGTGTTTTTATTCAATATTACAATTCTATATATACATAATTTCTGGAATATAAAAGGAAATAAACCATTAAGTACATTAATTGTTTAGGATGTATTTTATCCTAACGTTCTTTAATCTAATTTCATACTATTTTTAACACCTTTCCTCTAACTCTGGAGTAGATATTTTTTATCCTTAACTTGCCAATGATAGTTCACGATGCTAGTTTACTCAGTTTTTTAGTCAACGCATTTGCAAGCTACGAATTGGTTGACATGTTGAGATACATATTAAACCACTATCTACATGTTCTTTGATAAAGTATCTATCAATTTCAATATGTTTTGGTTATATTATATTGTACTGGGTTATGAACAATGCTAATGACGGGTTTATTGTCACAATATAAGTGCATGAGACTGTCCTAATTGATTTTAGATCTTCTGAATTCTTTTTAACCACAATTATTCACATACCTCTTGAGCCGTTGTTCTGAATTATGATTCTGCACTTGATTTAGCAACTACATTTTGTTTCTTACTCCTCCAAGTAAGCAAGTTATCCCCAAAGAAGGTGCAATGACTCTTGGTAAATCATTTGTCCTTCATACCTAGTCTGCATCCGTATAGGATTCTAGGAGCAATCTGTCATTTTTTTTGAACATGATCTTTCCTCAAGTGACTCTCTTTGGTAATGCAGTATTCTTGAGGCGGCCTGTAAGTGTACTTCTCTAGGGTTGTGCATGAATCTACTTATCGCACTTACTGCATAAATAAGATTAAATTAGTATCTGTATTTCCTTAATATATGAAATGAATCTGATTCTTTTTCATTTTCTTGAAAAAGAAAATGAAACTGATACTCTTTTGGCTGCTGATGCAGGGATTAATCATTTTCACAAGACACCTAATAGGGAATGGTTTGAAACAGATGCTGTGCTGCGGGTTAGCTTAGGAAATTTTATCTTTTTCACCACTCTGTCTGTTTTGATGATGGGTGTAAAAAATCAGAGGGATCCACGTGATTCTTTGCACCATGGTGGATGGATGGTGAAAATTATTTGCTGGTGTCTTTTGGTAATTTTCATGTTTTTCCTTCCAAATGAGATTATCAGCTTCTATGGTGAGTATTCCTTCTAAAAGTGATTCCTTATATTTTTGAAGAATAACAGCTTATTTCCAAAATTTTTCTAAGCCTATTAAAGCCACAAGTATAGAAGTTAATAAATACAGGGTCTTTGTGTACCATTCTCCTTTCGGTGCGAACTATAATGAAATTTCAAGTGCTGTTAAGACAATTTGGATCTTTTAAGGCTTGGAGGACATATTGTTTAGGTAGCAATTGGAAGACATGAAGCAGGCTTATTGTTACCTTTTGGATTTTATACTGAACTGGAGTCTTCTTGGTGCATAATGGATATGAAACTAGATTAGGGTTAGAATTATATTTCTAGCTAATCTATTTGTAATAATATGGACAAGATTAGGTCTTTAGTAGCTTAGAATTTTATTTATGTTTTAATTCTTCTAAATCTAAGTTTTCTATTACAATTCCATATTGAACTTAGATTAGGATTGTATATTTAAGCACCATAAATACCTTTATAGCCTCACTTTTGAGATCAATGCATGAGTTACTAAATTATTTTTGACTTTTCTAAAAATACCTTCACAAAAAACCTTAGTTGTATGATGACAACCAAATCTTAAGTACAATGTCTAAGAAACCTATTTTTCAGGTTTGCAGATCCAAAACTGATATTTCCCCTGATGTGTGCTTGGTGTGTTTTTGCAGCTCTAAAAATAATGTTCATATGCTTTTGCATTATGAGGTGGCTTAGAAAGTTTGGACTATAATTTTCTTTCTTTAGTTGTATTTGGTTTGTCACCTTATTTGAGATTTTTAACTTTTACTCTATATATGGGACTAGTAAAGAGTATTCATGCTTTGAGGGGGCATTTTATAGGTCTTTGGATCCTATGGTTGGTCTAAATGCTTGAAATTTAAAGTAGTGTTCCTATTCAGTTATAGATTTGTGCAATAGGATTGTGTTCTTAGCTTTTCTTTGGGCAAAAATACATGGTTTTTGGAAGGGGATTCCTCTTTCTATGATTTAAAGAGATTAAATTCCTATTTTTCACTCACTTTGTTTTGTTCTTTCATCTTTGTTTTGGTTCTTATGTTTGTTCCTTTATGTTCCTATTATTTTGGAAGATAGCTTATCCTCCTTTATGCTTTATCTCCAATTTCCATATCTATATGTTTTTTCTTATCTAAAGAAAAAGAAACCTTTTCTTAGGTGTAATGTCTAAAGGACCTTAGGTGCAGTGTCTAGGTTTACCCTAGATCTACAGGTAGAAAATTAATCCTAATTTTTGTTACAGGGATTAGAGCCAAAAGTTCCTGCATTCAATCACTCAAAACATTACACCCAATCGGGAAAAAAGTGCAAAACACAGTTAGCTTATCAGTAGCGAACTCCAAGTCACTAACAACCAATATCTAGTGGTTGTGTTCATCATTGGCCTCGTACCACATTGACAGCCTGTTGCTAGAGTCTCGACTATTAAAGCCATTGGGAATCATGCCACTTGCCATCCCAAGTTTACCTAGTAGTTGCATCACCAGATTGCAAGCAGTACAAGTCACAACTACATTATTGCATGGGATCTACTGAGCTACAACCATCACCTCAAGTCAAGCTTGTCGGCAAAACCTTGACATTGGATGCTGACCGAAAGCTAGCTTGTGAAACACATTTGTGGGTTGACACAAGTAGAATTTATCTTATCTTCATTGTTTGGGTCCTTTTCCAAGGGTTAACTGTATCGGTTCACTAGATTTGTTAGGCACTTGTTTAGTGGTTCAACTAGTCGTCAAAATGTTTTTTGGTATTTTTTATTTTAACGATTATTCAATCTGGTAAAGCTATGTCGAATGTTGAAATAAGTACACAATTGATACTCTCAATTAAAAGGAACTGATACTCTTTATCTAAAGAAAAGAAACCTTAGGTGCAGTGTCTAGGTTTATCCTAGATCTACAGATAGAAAGTTAATCCTAATTTTTGTTATAGCGACTAGAGCCAAAAGTTCCTACGTTCAATCACCCAAAACATTACACCTAATTAGGAAAAAATTGTAAAACACAGTTAGCTTATCAGTAGCCAACTCTAAATCACCAACAACCAATATCTAGTGGTTGTGTTCATCAGTGGCCTCGTATCACATTGCCAGGCTATTGCTGGAATCTCAACAATTAAAGCCATAGGGAATCATGCCACTTGCCATCCCTAGTTTACCTAGTAGATACATCACCAGATTGCCAGCAGTACAAGTCACAACTACATTATTGCATGGGATCTACTGAGCTACAACCATCACCTCAAGTCAAGCTTGTCGGCAAAACCTTGACATTGGATGCTGACCGAAAGCTAGCTTGTGAAACACATTTGTGGGTTGACACAAGTAGAATTTATCTTATCTTCATTGTTTGGGTCCTTTTCCAAGGGTTAACTGTATCGGTTCACTAGATTTGTTAGGCACTTGTTTAGTGGTTCAACTAGTCGTCAAAATGTTTTTTGGTATTTTTTATTTTAACGATTATTCAATCTGGTAAAGCTATGTCGAATGTTGAAATAAGTACACAATTGATACTCTCAATTAAAAGGAACTGATACTCTTTATCTAAAGAAAAGAAACCTTAGGTGCAGTGTCTAGGTTTATCCTAGATCTACAGATAGAAAGTTAATCCTAATTTTTGTTATAGCGACTAGAGCCAAAAGTTCCTACGTTCAATCACCCAAAACATTACACCTAATTAGGAAAAAATTGTAAAACACAGTTAGCTTATCAGTAGCCAACTCTAAATCACCAACAACCAATATCTAGTGGTTGTGTTCATCAGTGGCCTCGTATCACATTGCCAGGCTATTGCTGGAATCTCAACAATTAAAGCCATAGGGAATCATGCCACTTGCCATCCCTAGTTTACCTAGTAGATACATCACCAGATTGCCAGCAGTACAAGTCACAACTACATTATTGCATGGGATCTACTGAGCTACAACCATCACCTCAAGTCAAGCTTGTCGGCAAAACCTTGACATTGGATGCTGACCGAAAGCTAGCTTGTGAAACACATTTGTGGGTTGACACAAGTAGAATTTATCTTATCTTCATTGTTTGGGTCCTTTTCCAAGGGTTAACTGTATCGGTTCACTAGATTTGTTAGGCACTTGTTTAGTGGTTCAACTAGTCGTCAAAATGTTTTTTGGTATTTTTTATTTTAACGATTATTCAATCTGGTAAAGCTATGTCGAATGTTGAAATAAGTACACAATTGATACTCTCAATTAAAAGGAACTGATACTCTTTATCTAAAGAAAAGAAAACTTAGGTGCAGTGTCTAGGTTTATCCTAGATCTACAGATAGAAAGTTAATCCTAATTTTTGTTATAGGGACTAGAGCCAAAAGTTCCTACGTTCAATCACCCAAAACATTACACCTAATTAGGAAAAAATTGTAAAACACAGTTAGCTTATCAGTAGCCAACTCTAAATCACCAACAACCAATATCTAGTGGTTGTGTTCATCAGTGGCCTCGTATCACATTGCCAGGCTATTGCTGGAATCTCAACAATTAAAGCCATAGGGAATCATGCCATTTGCCATCCCTAGTTTACCTAGTAGATACATCACCAGATTGCCAGCAGTACAAGTCACAACTACATTATTGCATGCGATCTACAGAGTTACAACCATCACCTCAAGCCAAGCTTGTCGGCAAAACCTTGACATTGGAGGGTGACGTAAAGCTAGCATGTGAACCACATTTGTGGGTAGACATGTAGAATTCATCTTATCGGCATTGTTTAGGTCCTTTTCCAAGTAAGGGTTAACCGTATCGGTTCACTAGATTGGTTAGACACTTGTTTAGTGGTTCAATTAGTGATCAAAATGTATTTCAGTATTTTTTATTTTAACGATTGCTCAATCGGGTAAAGTTATGTCGAATGTTGAGATAAGTGTACAATTGATACTTTCATTAAGAGGAACTAATACTCTTATCTAAAGAAAAGAAACCTTTTCTTAGATGTGATGTCCAAAAGACCTTAGGTGCAGTGTCTAGGTTTACAGGTAGAATATTAATCCTAATTTTTGTTATTGGGACTAAAGCCAAAAGTTCCTACATTCAATCACCCAAAACATTACACCTAATCAGGAAAAAAGTGCAAAACACTGTTAGCTTATGGGTAGCGAACTCCAAATCATCAACAACCAATATCTAGTGGTTGTATTCATCAATGACCTCGTACCACATTGGCAACCTATTGTTGGAGTCTCGACTATTAAAGCCATTGGGAATCATGCCACTTGCCATCCCAAGTTTACCTAGTAGGTGCATCACTAGATTGCAAGCAGTACAACTCACAACTACATTATTGCATGCGATCTGCTGAGTTACAACCATCACTTCAAGCCAAGATTGTCGGCAAAATCTTGATATTGGACGGTGACGGAAAGCAAGCATGTGAACCACATTTTTGGCTAGACACAAGTAGAATTTATCTTATCTGCATTGTTTGGGTCCTTTTCCAGTAAGGGTTAACCGTATCGGTTCATTAAATTTGTTAGGCACTTGTTTAGTGTTTCAACTAGTCATCAAAATGTTTTTTGGTATTTTTTATTTTAACAATTGCTCAATCGGGTAAAGTTATGTCGAACGTTGAAATAAGTGCACAATTAATACTCGCATTAAGAGGAACTAATACTATTATATAAAGAAAAGAAACCTTTTCTTGGATGTGATGTTCAAAAGACCTTACCTGCAGTGTCCAGGTTTATCCTAGATCTACAGGCAGAAAATTAATCCTTTTTGTTCAAGGAACTAGAGCCAAAAGTTCCTACATTCAATCACCCAAAACATTACGCCCAATCGAGGAAGGAGTGCAAAACGCAGTTAGCTTATCAATAGTGAACTCCAAATCACCAACAACCAATATCTAGTGGTTGTGTTCATCAGTGGCCTCGTACCACATTGACAGCCTATTGCTGGAGTCTCGGCTATTAAAGCCATTAGGAATCATGCCAATTTTTTTTGAAATAAAAGAGAAGTATTA